TGTCTGATGGTCGTAATTTTTCAAAATTGAATTTCAACAAGCAGGAAAATCCTTAAATTCAATATGTTTTGCGGAAATTTCGAATACCTTAACCACGACATGAAAGCCATGAAGCTGAAAAATGAAACCCCACGACGGTCAATTTTCGAGCTGTATTTTTTGCTTGAAATTTACTCTGGACTGGAACAATGCTCGAAAGCTGACGTAAAATACTTGACGGTCTTGAAAGGAATGAAAAGCTTGCCGCCGTAATTCGAGGCGTCGGATCGAATTTCCATTCATATCCCGGAAATTCGCCAAATATGAACTGCACTTCTGGAAATCATGTGCTTGCGTTCATTTCCTCGTGCTCGTATTTCGCTGCGAAATGCATGACGCCAAATCAAGTGGTTGGGGTTTTTGCTTTGTCATTTCTTGTTTGATAAGAGGGTTGGAGAATTTCTGTCGACTTGTTCTGAATTATCTGCTCTTTTTCAACATTGGATCAAATGCTTCTTTTTACGGAGAAGAATTTTTTTGCATTGATTCTGAAGTCGCTGAACAGTTTCATCGTATGATTCGACGCTAGAGCATTTTAGACGTATATTTTTATAGGAGATGGTTCTTCAAAAAAATTCTAAAAATGAGAGTGATTTGGAAGACTTTTGATGGAACCCTCGTGCAGAATTTTGAGTTTCACGGAAGCGCATCAACGTTGCCTCGGGCGGTATATTTTATTTTTTTAACCCATCTTTTTCTCTGTCTCTCTCTCTTTTTTCTATGGTCCAGATACTTCCTTTTTACATGGAATGAGCAGATGGTGGGGTTTTCTGCCTCGATTTGTTGATTTGCTGGCCCACTAACTTGTTCAGTCTGCGGAAGTGACGAATTTGGATGATGGCATCGAATTACTAATGATTCCAACGCGTAAAATATGCAGAAATTTTTATCGGAAACCAAGGTATTCATCCTTTCGTAAATTTGAAATGACCAGAAAGTGTAAGTTTGTTTATCTTATTTTTTTCCATTAAAAAGGGTTTAGTGAAACAAATATTAATTCGAATAGAAATATTAATTAATTCGAATAGAAATATAATATTAATTCGATATTAATTCGAATATTAATTCGAATAGATGATGGCATCGAATTACTAATGATTCCAACGCGTAAAATATGCAGAAATTTTTATCGGAAACCAAGGTATTCATCCTTTCGTAAATTTGAAATGACCAGAAAGTGTAAGTTTGTTTATCTTATTTTTTCCATTAAAAAGGGTTTAGTGAAACAAATATTAATTCGAATAGAAAGCAGCTTTAAGATTAATTTTTGGGCCATTTCTGAGGGACTATTCAGAATTTTCGTCTGTACATTGAAGTAAATGTTTTCGGCTACTCACATTATCGATCAAGACCACGTTACAATTGTATTAATTAGCTTTTGCTCATTTCTCACAAATTGTCATCGAGCAGAGATCTGATTTTCTGAACTGCATGCTAGCTAATTGACATTCATTGACATAGATTTCTAATAATTTTGAATTTCAGAAGCGGCACTAAGCTGATTTTTAAATTATTTCAATTCCTTTTTTATGACTTGAAGTGCGTGAAATTTGATGGAACGCACAACTGTGGCTTTTAAAATCAATATCCGCTTAGTGAATGAGTGCAAGTTTCTGAAATTTAAATTAAACGGGATGATTCAAACTATAACCTAAGAATAATGGTGCCGTTAGAAAAATTGAAAAATTCATTTCCGTCTTGATATTTCCAATTCAACAAGGAAAGCGCAATTTCGCGTAAGTCATGAACGGATCCTCGTGTAATTGATTTGTCTTAATTTTTCTGCGGGACTATTTAAGCAAAGACGAAAATTTAAAGTCAGTTCGTAGCATAAGCGGATGTTCCCAGCACAAAGCCTTCTCTCCTGGGCTGAACCTGCTCAAAATGACAGCGTTTTTCACGTCAGCTCCATGTGTAAGAAAACATGGAAACTGACGAAGCAGTTTCTAGAAGGGCCAAAGGGCCCCTGGCGAGCTTGGTGAGTCTAAATTTTATTTTTCTACATTCCCGTTGATGAATATCAAATGAGAGGAAAATAAAAAGTCTGACAAATAGAGGGGTTTGAAAATGAACCCGAACTCCCTTTGAAAAAATAGGACTTCCGTCGTCTCGGAAATGGTTTTTTTTTGGGAGCATCGAGAAGAAAATCTTGAAAACTCGGTCACGCTCTTGTTCACGCCAGTAGCTGCAATTCTGTTCTGCTTTTGCCATTGCGGCAGATGAAAATTCTTGGATTTCAAACTCCGTTTTTCCCGCGCTTCTGATTTATATTCATAGCGGTACTTTTCGATTTGCGTTGGTATTAGAATACGGGACTTGTCGAGTAGGTCGAGCGCTTGGTATTAGTCTTCTATAGACCGTGTCATCTGCTACAAAATTATGACTCCGTTCTTTGCCGTGTGGCGTGAAAGGAAGCTTGGAGAATCTAGGTTAGCAGGTGCTCAAGATTCAGTCTCTTGGGTGGTTTTTTTTTTTATCATTATTCTGTTGCTGGAAAAAAGGTTTGCCAGCTTAACGTCTGGAACTTGCGGAGAAGAGATTTTTATAAATTTGTATACGGAAATGATCCTGCCCCGAATCTCGTCTGGAAACGTGCGTCTCCTCTAATTCGGGGATGTTGTTTTTCGGCAACTCTAGCTGAGAAATTAAAGATTAAATGGGGTGTACGTTGGGATTCATTTTCTATTTCATGATCTTGGTGTGATAAACTTGATCAACTTGCCCTTCGAATACGTCCCGAGTGCCATGTGATTCTGAGTTACTCGTTCGAAGAAATGGAGCTCCGACTTGCGGACTTATTTGGTGGTTGGGCCTTGTCCGTATTTCAGATCATTTTCCACGGGAACATATTTACTTGGTTCTCCTGCTCACCAAAAATTATGGATAAAATTCCCCGAAAATCGATAAAAAAAAATTTTCCCAACGTCAATTAAGAGGAAATAATTAAGCCGAAGAAAACCACCCAGAATCTGAACCACACAGAACCAGGAGCTCAAGAGACAAATTGAGCTATACTCTCCACACATTATGGGGAAAACTCTGTAAAAAACCACAAAATCAGCGTTTTTTTATTATAATTTAATTAATTTTGGGTAATTTTATAATGAAATTGATTTATATATATATAGTGAATATAAATAGCTCGATTTGTTCTAGAGATATTAAGATGGTTTATCTGGAAATTTCGTGGAAGTGTCCTTATCTCGAGGCATTGCCTGGATGTCAGACAGATTTTTGCAAGTTGTATGTGTCCCTGAGTCGATTCGTCCATCTGTCGAAGACCCACAGCATTTCATGAAATACAATCGGCATTTTACGTGTTTCGCGGTTGCCCAAGATACGAGTTTTTATTTTCTCCTCTCCTGACATCGCACAGAAAAATGTACAACTCAATAATGAAAACAAAAAAAAATTAAAAACGTTTCTAGGATGCAGAAATAACTGGTCAAATGACTCAGTTCACCGATGATTTTCTCCCCCAAAAAATGCGTGCTTCCGATTCCAACCGTGACGAACATTCGAAAGCAAAAATTCATCCTCTCACCATAATTTCCTCCTCCCGTTCGGGTCGTTCTTTCCCCCCCAGGGCTTGAAATATTTTTGTTTTTGTTGTTGTTTATAGTAAGCGCTAATTGCCGCAATGTCGGGAATTAGGCTCGGTATTGCGGCGGCTTGTTGTATTGTTCTTGCGGCGGCTTGTTGTATTGTTCTTGCGGCTTCACGTGGCGGCCGTAGGCGTCCTTTTCGTGCTTTTTCGGCGGCTTCGGGATGATCTGAGTTTGCTGTTCGTATTCCTTGGCTTCGTAGCCGTTCACTGGATGACTGGTGTACTTCACAGTTCGGAGAACTCCATTCGGGTCGATGTAAGAGTATTCACCTAGAAACAAAAGTGACCTGGTTTGTGAGAAGCGTACTTCTTTTGTCCAGCGTGGCAGCGCGTCGTTTCAGTGCGGCTAGATGTCGCTCGCAGTTGAAAATTTGTGCAGGGGACTCTGTCTACGACGAAATTCAAGGGAGCTGAGAAATATTCGTTGTAGGAGAGAATTTCTTTGCGAAGTACCCCTTATAACATGAGGAGAGAACCTTATATGGGGCAGCAAGAAAATCATTATGCAGAGATAATCGTTTTAATGAGAGTCCACTTGAACTGTCAGTTGGAAATCATTTCATCAAATTCATGGATTTTGCACATTAGTTTGAACCCCGTTTAACAGCCTCTCTAGACGACGATTTTTCTGCCCAGTCCTTTCTGGCTAATTAAATTAATGTTTGTTACGTGTAGAGTTTTCATTCCTCCTGAAAAACCTGCCATGACATTTCTTTTTTCTTTTTCCAAATTTTACGCACAAATTATGACTCGAATGACAGCATGTGTGCTGGGAGATATTCAGGTCTTTAATGTAGTTCCGGGTGAGAAAACAAAAAAGTCTTTTTGACTTGTGAAGTATTCACTGTTGAAATTCTCTTGAATTTTCTTTTACTTTTTCTTTCGAAATTTGATACGCTTAGAATAAAAGTTTTACTGCCTTTTGAGTTTTTGAACCGTGATATTTTGTGAGCAACACTATTTGACATTTGACTGTAACAAGTGCAGTATCTTCGATTGACTACGAGTTCTATGAAGGTGATCGATATAGTGGCTTAACTGCACGTTGGAAATCGCTTGCTCTACCGTTTTGAAGTTGTGCTTGTGGGTATTGTGACGGAGCCGGTTTGAGAAAGCGTGGGATTTATTCTTGAAGTTGTGCAATAGGGCGGAAATCGAACTAAAATTGAGTTCTTTTCTGCTATGTTCAGGTAACCGAAAATTATTCCAGTTGATACAGAAATTCGGGTAAAAACAAATAGACCTATGTAGCAATCTCACTTCGAGGAATCTATTCCGGGCCTGAGCTCAGCTTCGGTCTTTTTTTTTTAAATAATTTTACTACAGTATTATTATTCTCTGGTGGTTTCTAAATTGTAGTATGCGTAGTGGAAGGGCAGCTAGCTGGAGGCGGTTCGTGATTTAGTGCATTTCAGGCGGTGGTCTTAAAATTATTCAATTTTTTTTTCTTTCGTCTTGAGGAATGTCTGAGAGTCTGTTTGGCTGCGGGGAAGAATTTCGCAACTGCGAAGTTGCGTCGCCTTTTTGGACTCTGCCTCGAACATTCACGAAGCCTGGGTTACGAAATAACCCCGGGTTCCGTGCCCCGTTTTTCGCGACGGGAGATCTTTTAGCTGCTCTGGTTTTTCTTTTGTGGCTGGCTGTGGGGAAATTTAAATGTGCACCTCTAACCCCTTTTTAATGGCATGGGTTAAACTGCTTCGTTAAACTTTTTTTTTGGTTGCGTCATTTATGACTTGAAAATTATGATGTACGATTATAAAGTGTTGTTGGTACATGGCTTTGCATTTTTTTTTTTCATGTCCGAGGTCTTTGAGTCAGTCATTTGCCAAGGGGTTTCTTTAGCAGGGTTTCGTCAGGCAACTTCTTGCTCAACACGACTTTTCAGGGAAACTTGTATTTTCAAATAAGAGAGTCATTTTCCAAAAGGTTTCTTCAGCATCATGTTGGGCTAATTCTTGCTCAACATAAATTTTTGAAAATACTTGCGCATTGAGATGAAAGCTTCTTTTTTTAATGGAAAAATCGTTTCCATATCTGGGGTATTGTTACAAATTAGATGTCATTTGTAAACTTTTCGAAGTGATCATTAAAATATTATTTACTAAAAGTGATTGGGTGTATTTCAGGCTTTTATCTTCTCACCATTCTAGATATTTCTAACTAGCCAAAAGATGGGCGAACATAACTTCGTCAATAACTCAAAATTGCGTCCATTTGCGTAAGATTGACGGAAGTTTGTAAACGAATCCTCGTATTGCCGTCAGATTCGAAATTTGTGTGCAAAAATACAATGATAAAACGTGCGGGTTTCTAGCAATGGTTTCAAAATTTAGTTTTTCTTCTAGGAAATGACGAATTTTTTTCGCCTTGCTGCGACTTGAATTCGTTCTGAATCTTGCGGAATATTTTAGTGTAGCCACGCAAGAAAAAAAAAATATGGCGCAAAGGGGATTTTTGAGATTTTTTATTTTGTTTTCCCTGTTTTGAGTTGGACAGTTTACCGAAATATCTCATGGCTTTGCACTACTTCTAAAACCGTTCCTGTTTTCAACTTGACGATTTTGCGCTTGATAATTTTGCGTGGTGTGTAATTTTTTTTTTATGCGCAGTAGCTCTTGAACTATTTTTAGGATACAAGCATTGAGGTAACGGTATTTTAGTCAGAATGATGAATTTTTGAAGTCGTGCTCGTATTGAAACTTTGATTGCACTCATCTGTATAATTCCACGAATTCTGTTGAAAATTATTTGATCGCTTTCACGAAAAAGCGGGCCGACTTCATTCGTGTTTTCACTGAACTGGGATACAGTATCATTTTCCGCCGAATATCCTGACCAGTGGTTTCCGGGATATTTCCCCCAGTTCATTTCGAAAGGAAATTTAGCCAGGAAAGTTTCTGTTTTGTTTTCGTGTGCCATGAGAAGTGTTGATTAATTTTCCGAATTCTGGTGAGGGAAGCATTGGTTATGGTTATACCGTGACGCTTTTCGCTCTTTTCGAAGTGCATATTGACATTGTTCGAGGCCATTCGATTGTCTGTAATTTCTTTCAACTTACCGAATGTTTCCAGACCATCACGAACTTCTGATCGTGTCTGGTAATTTCCGATTTCTCCGTCTTCTACGTTGTAGCTAAATTGATAATTGATTGGCAGCAACGCGTCGGGCTCCAACTCTAATTTCTCATTTGCGTAGCCGTCTCCGTCGAGGTCCTTCAGTGGAATTTCGTAAGCCTGGGGCTAGACATGATATAATTCGTGGAATATGTGTGAGAGAATATATTAAGCCAGATGCTCTGTGTGTGATTGACCGAGAAATTGTGAAGGAAAGAGTCATGTTCACTTCAAAGGCTGCCTTGCTTCAGCTCATTTGATCAAAATACGGATAGTTTGAAATTCTAGTTCTTATTGGGAAAGTAGGAAAAAACTCTCATTAAGAAGTAGATTTAATAAAATTATTCTAAATATCAATCTAAAATCCTCTTCGGACAAGGATGGGACTGTATTGTATTTTAATTTTCGTCGCATGAATGTTCGTCTTTTTTTTATCTGGCGATTGTTAGAATTGAATGCAGTATTCCTGTCACGAATTTTCATCGCATGAATTTTCGTCTTTTTTTCATCTGGCGATTGGTAGAATTGAATGCAGTATTCCTGTCACGAATTGCTTTTCAAGGTCCGATTATCTCGGAGGATATCATGTGGATGCTTGTCAGTTCATGCGATTAATACTTTTCTGTATTTTCTTCGAAATGAATTTATATATTTTTTCGACATTTTAAATCCTACTTTTTATTTTCTAAAATTTCGACTTGCTTCTCTGTAATTTTTTGTGAATCCTTTGAAATCCAACTGCATTGTTCGTGCCTTTGGTTTTTTCAATTAAATTTAAACGTTTATGAATTTATAGAAAAATATTGTTGAAAAAGGAATATTGTTTTTATCTTGAATAAAAAACTCACAGAAGGTCTGTATTTTGGTGAAGGAGCGTCTCGTTCGGCTCGAGCAGCGAGTTTTGCTGCCTCGCTTGTCGCAGCGAAGCACAAAACCGCAATCACTGCGATGATTGGCGACATCTGAAATGCAACTTTTTTTATTAATGATTGTCCCCTTTGCGGTTTTGTTTTATTATTATAAAGTATAGTTTATTTGGGCGTGGAGTAAATCTCGGAAAAAAGGGACGATTCATCGTCATCGAGCAAACGGCCCATTTTTTAAATAGAAATAAAAGCTGATTGTCGATGTTTGATTCACAGATTTAATTTTTGTGTGTAATTTTTTTTCTATTCTAGTTGAATTTCTTTCATTAAATGAAGTAGAATTCACGACGACATTCCGTGCGTTCGCCGAATTAATTTGAAACTTTGTCGACCTTTTCATTTCAGAAAATTGCCAATTTTTTGCTTTTACAGTTCTGTAATTCCGAAGATTCGTGGAATTTACGCATTCTGTTTTCGTTGATAAATAGTGCACCGAAATCAGACGGTATTTTGTCAAAGCATCAAAAAAGGATTTTGTTTATCCGTACGAGAACTTTTGAAATTTCGCTCCGCTTTCTTTAATTTGCAAAAAATTCAGCGTGACTTGTAATTTAATATTTTAAAATGTTCTCATCCGCTGCATTTTCCAAGTATGGCTTTGCGTAATTTTTCCTGTATTTCTGCCTATTTAATTACCCGGATAAATAATCGAATTGAAGTGACGTAGCTCGAGTAAAAATAACGCTTTGTTTCGACGCTATGTTTTTCTGTTAAGTTACACTTGAAGTAGTCGGAAAATTGTAGGCTGAAGTTTAAGGTACGTTTTTTTTTTTCAAGTTTCAAAGGATGAAAGAAGTGTTCGTTGTATATAACACGTTCTTTCAGTGATGGAAAGTAGTGGAAGTAATATTTACTCACTTTTGTTGAGCAGTGCTGACTGAAAAAAAAAATTCCTCTTTTGGACGCAAAAGATTCAGATCACCGAGAGAAAAGTTGAGTCGGATTCAGGTGCTTCACGATCGGGGTTCGAGGGAAAACTGGAGTCCCGGGTGCTCCAGGGCGGGTGTATTGTCCCGTTCCAGCCGGGGCCGGGTGATGTCATATCTCGCAGGGGTGATGCAACCCCGACTGGGTCCCAAAATCGCGGTACTCCGCACTTGAGAGCCCACGAAAAAGCCATTACCATCGTTTCTTTTCTTCTTATTTTTTTCCTGGGGTCTTCGATTTCTTGAAAGTTATTCTTTTTCTCCTTCGCAAAACTCGTTTTCTCCTTGTCTTTTTTTTTGCCGTCAATATTTTTCTGCAAAGTTGATTCTATTTCCGCGTGGGGGTTGGCAAAAGTTCGGATATTTTTTCCGTTGCGTTATCGCGTGTCGTCTGATTTTGCTGGGTTCATTTTTTTCATCAAACTGCCCCCCCCCCCCAAACAATCATTGCTAACCTATATAGGAACAATCTTTGAAAGAAAGAATGTTCAGGGGAATTTTGAAAAATTTTTGTCTTTCATTTCACCGTATGTTCCAAGAACCAGTCACAGTCATATTTTGAATGGGAAATGTGAGACTTCGCCTGTCTTCATTAGGGATTTTTCATCATGAATTCATAACATGTTCTTTAGTTTGCTATATTTGATGCGTTTGTTACAATGAGATTTTCTTAACATGTAAGAAAATCTATGTTATTGATCATAGGGTATCTGCCAGGACTTGGAATAAACTTTGTTATACTGAAAAATGTGCTGTAACGAGATTTTACTATATTGATACAGTATCCAAGTTACAGTATCATCTCTAGTTCTTTGTCTTGAATCGTATCGAAACTCCACGTTAAACGAACGTTGTTCGCAGGTCGTGACAAAACTAGGGGGAAAAACTCTCTGAAACTTGAGAAGTGTATTACTGGCGTGGGAGCTGGAGTGAAGTAACTGCGTGCCGCGATTTGATCGACATCATCTTTTTTCTTTTACATTGAGAAAAAGAAGAAAAAAAAAGATGGAATACATTTTCAAGTGAAGTAAAATTACTCGGTGATGCTGCCCGGAGGCGGTGTTGACGAAATGAAATACCGATTGATGCTGTGTCGAATGTTGAGGATTGTCGAGAAGTTTCCGCGTGTGGAACGTGGGACACGATTTCTCTGTGGGGTATTTTGGAATGTGTAGGACGTTGTTTGTGGTTTTCATAACTTGGGGGTTAAACTGAAACCATTTATTTGTGCTTCGTATATTCAATCCTGTTTTTCGTCTATTCTTTTGGATTATATATATATTTTTTTAAATATGTGACTGATTTGGAGAAACTAATGAGGTTTAGTCGTGAGTAATTTTCATTATCATTTTTCGTATGAGTTAGAGGATGGAGAATCATCGCATTACTAGGCTTAAGTGTCTTTAATCTTAAGAAAGCCTTCTTTGTTCTTGGTAAGAGAGTGCTTTTTGATTTCTTCAAAATCTTTTAGTGAATTTCTTTTCATGGTCAAGTTTTTCTGACAAAATATGGAATTAAGAACAGGGTTGGAAGCAAGCTTCGACTCATTTGTTGATCATCCTATTATTTTGTATCCCTGATTTTTTCAAACTTCATTCTCATCGAAAGAAATTGGGAGTCAATCTTCTCAATTGACGTCAGTTCCGCAAGAATGCCTGAAATTAGGATGCATTTTCGATCGGACCGTGGAAATCACTGTCGGTATTTTTCAGTTATTTGAAATGTTATCCGCACATCGCCAGTCAGAATGTAAATAAAATTTACAACTACGGCATATTAACCCTGAAAATCCGTTTTTCCTCATTGGAATGGCGAAATTGAAACTCCGCCTCTTCTTTATTTCTTCTTGGATTAACGAACATTTGAGTAATCTTTCAGAAAATGATCAAATGTTGCTTTGTTGAAAATAATGCCCGTTTCCATCGCATCAGCAACAAGTGAAGCTCGGAAATTGAAAACTCGTGAAGTATTCGGCGTATTTTCATTCCATTGACTGCTAGTTCTAGTTTTTGAAAATATTCGCGAATAAATATGTATGTTGTTGAAGAATTTAGATTTCTTAATTTTCCACATCGATAATCGAAGGGAACGAATTGTCTGGTTGGACATGGAATGAAACGTTGTTGCCCTAATTCTTTAATACCCGTTTATATTGGTATTGAGGTATACATTTTTTTTTAAAGAGTTACGTATATTTTGCAACCGAATGCGTTGGCTGATTGATTGCTCGTTGTCAGTTTGATTCTTTTACGTCCTTTGCGCTTGATGTTGCACCAGCTTCATCGATCACGCTTCGATTTCGGAAGGCGTTTCGAAACACTTTTTTCCTGCTGAGGGTTTACGAAAGTTTTCGTGACGCCTGTTTTTTTGCCATTTGTCCTGCAAAAAAAACAGATTCTCGCGAGGTTTCATTCGAAAGATGCTGCGTAATTTTTTTTTGGTTGATTGACTTAGCGGTTTTGTGATTTCAAATTGATTGACATTTTTTTCTTGGTGTAGCATCGCGAAAATTCTCATGGGAGGATTCAATAACATTTTGATGATCATTTAGAATCTAGGTTTTTTTTTAATCGGAGGATTTTGCAAAATGTTTGCGGGAACCATTTCAATCTTATCCATGCCTTCGGTTCAAATTCCTAGACCTGATTATTAAGCCTTGAGAGCTTTCGAAAATTTATTTTATGCTGATTTATTGTACCTTACTTGAATGTAAAAGTTTTAAGCACAATATCTGATTCGGCTTATAATCAGTGGGACGCCATTTTTCTGCGAGCTTGAGGTAGTTGTGTAATCGTTGTCCCATGACACATTTTCCGTGCCAACAAGTTGATGAAATTGTCAAGTACAGTATAGTAATTACTGTTGGTAAAATGACCAAGATAAATTGAAAGGCCCATTTAATATTACGTTAAGTACTGGACCTTGATGAAGTTTATTCAGATTAATTTGGATTGAAACTTCGAGGAAGGTAGTGCTTCCTTGAGGTTCCCCTCGTGTTCTTGAATTCTCATCTGCAATTGAATTGAAACCAGAATCGGATTGGAACGACATCCAGCGACCAAGTGCTGTAACTAGGTTTTTTCTGTTGCTGGATTTTTCCGTCAGATGCCAGTATCTCCACCGTCATGGCGGTTTAACCTGTTATTGCAGATGCAACGTTTGCTGTACTTTTTACGACTAATTTATTCAAGACAAAGGAGAACAATATCCGGCTTTGAAGGGTTGCGAACTACTCCTGATCCGTTTTTTTTTTTTTCCTGAGCTTGAGTGAATTATTTTTTACTAACCTATTCCATAACGTGAATGCTGTGAAACTTGGTCTTTTATTAAGGAAGTGATGGTTACTAAGAAGTTACGAGGCATCCTTGTTATGAAGAACATGTTCATTGATCTTCCTGTCGCGACTTGGTCACCTTGAAAAGAAAGAAAGAAGTGTTTTTCCCTCGTGATTCTGACGTTCTAAATTCTCCCGGCAACGTTAAGTAAGTTAACGTTCCATTCACTTATTTTTAAATCTTATTTTTATCCCCTTGAAGCCCTTTTGTTCAGGTATCTTTGTTGCCTTATTTTGAACGATTCAAAGAATTTTTGAAAATTTCAGCTTTTACTTCAATCAGACGGACGTTGTTGGGAAGTATGAATCGAGTTCTTCCGCTTGGGTTCTATTGACTGAATTTGGCTGAGGAAAATGTTGAATCATTCTTTGTAAATACGAGTCGGTTGATTCATTGAAATGGCCACATTTTTGCGCTTTTTCACAGAAAAGTATATTATTTTTCTTTAAGATATCTTAGTTACAAAAGTTGAAGTCGGCGCCGAGACTTCAAAGATCACAATAAACATTTGAATTAATTGCCCTGCGACTTTTAAGAGAATCTTTTTTTGTCTTGATTTATTTAATATCTTTTGAAAAACATTTGACTGATCTCTTTCTGGAGAAAAAGTCATGTTCGTCGTCGGTGAGAGACCATTCTGTCGAGAATCGCGTTTCTTCGCGACGTTCTCGAAGCCTGAGCTATTTTAGGAATGTTCGATGGCGTCGGTGTCGATTGGCTCACTGTCGAGTTCATGCTGTCACTTGTGTCGACGACGAGATGATCAGCACTTGAGGAATGCGACGTAATGAATGCCGCTGTTGAGGCTTCGGGCTCGGGTTCTTTGGACGAGCGAACTGATCTTGAAGACACTTGCTCTTCCTGTCCGGAAATTACGACGCCATCCGGGAGAACGTTGTTGATGTTTCCGGTCTCTGTTGTCATTTCCGTTGTGCTTGGGGAGGTTGGGATTTCTCGTTGAGGCGTTGATCTCCTTGTGAGGTCCACCTTTTGAACGAATTTATCGAGAAATATTTATTTTATCTCCCTATCTGTAAAAAAAAATTTTTTTTGCTTTTAAAATTGGGTGTCCGAAGTGTTAAATGGAAGAATCTTGAGTGAAATTCACGCAAGCAACTGACAAAAAATTATGCCACTGTACTAAACGCAAATATTTGATAAGTGAGGCAGAAAGCAACTAATGAAAGAATCTTATGAATATTTCAGCGAGCTGAGACACAAAATTGTATTTTGAAACTGCCAGAAAAAATTCGTAGGAAGTAAGTTGCATGACTTTTTCTTCGCATTTAAATTTTAATTTTTCCTTTTAATTTTTGGGGTGCCCGAATTTTTCTCATGTTGGTGAAAATCTGGAGTGAAACTCATCCAAAGAATAGAAAGAAAAATTTTGCTCAACACAATGATTTAATAAGCGACGCGGGAAGTAATTAATGAAAGGCTCCTATGAATATTTCAGTGTACTGAGACGTAAAATTGTATTTTGAAGCTGGCAGAAAAGTCGAAATGAAGTCTCAATTGATGCACAAAGTAGTTCGTAATGTTGTTGCACAATTTAATTGATTGTCTGACCTTCTCAAACTTGATTTCCGCACGGAACCCGGTCCCTGGGCTGACCCAGTAACGCACAACACGCAATGTCAACCCGTCGGGTTCTAGAACCCGGTATTCGCCCTGGACCGAGTCTCCTTGGCGTTCTTCTTGCGCACTTTTGTAATCACCTGCAAAAACCAGCTGTCACAAAAGACGCAGACCCGGAAAGGGCTAAGCATTGTCAATTTCATATTGTAGAAATAAAAAAAGGGAAAACAAGAAATAAACTGTCATACCCGCTCACGTTTTTTGTCTCCTTCCTTCAATGTGATAGGAAACTCGATGCCCCACGTTCCCTTTCAGTCACGGACTCGAACTCATCGTCGTGAGTTTTTGTATTTTTTCAGTCTGATTTTAATTTTCACGTCTTAATTACGTTTAAATCGTAGTGTATTTCCTCGGTTTGCCTCCGAAAATGTATTACTGTATTGTGATTGTCAAAGAGCGAAGTAAACAAAGGAATACTGTACGAAGTGGGATTCGGGGGTTTTGTAATTACCGATACGTTGAATTAAACTCTTCGTATACGAGATTTTTCAATGTGTGACAAATCATCTTAACGTACTTTTCAATCGTCGAAGAATCTTGTGAAAAACATGTTCATTTGAATGGGATTTTTCAGTTGAAAGCATGATTGGTTTTTATTTTATTTTTGGTTCGCCGATTATTGACGTTCAGCGTCGCTTATGCCAACATTGTCGAGATCGGAACTCGTGGCATGAAGAATTGAATCCATGACTTTTTCATCATTTGAAAGATTCATGGTAGCACTTGGGAAAATTGTCCTATTCATTGATTGAAACACGTTGATGTGTTCATTTTCAAATCTTCTACCGGGGTTTTTTTTTTTAGTCTGGGTGTGTTGAACTATTTTAAAATTGACCATTAAATGGTCAGATATACGTATGATTAAAGCTGAACACTTTTATCAATTCATTTAAGAGAGGCACAAAAGTGAAAACATTTTGAATCGACTTTCGTATTTTCTGGCGGATTTCCACGATAACTCGATTGAAATTCTTTATCTTAGTTCAGAGGAAAGATTTAGATATTCCGCTTAGAAATATACTGCTTGGTTATTCAGGGAGTTCAATTTCGGGATCAGTTGTTGAAAGAATAGAGGAAATTCTTGACTTAACATTCGCAAGATATGAATAGTTAATCTTTTGCTTGGTCTTGAAATTCTTGTTACTGAAAATTCGGAAGTTTCGTTGAATGTTCATTGTGTTGAAATGAACAGTATTCATTTCATCGGTCGGTTTCGAAAGGCCGAATTCTTGCTTGATTTTCTTGGGTCATTTCGAGAATTGATTGCGACTCGTTCAGTCTTGTTAAGAGATCCTTTGATTTTCACCGACAAGCTAAATAGGGTTGAAGTCGAGAGTCGTGTATTCCAACGCCGACGAACTCATCGTCGTACCTGTCTGTTTGTCTGCGATGGAATATCCGTAGCTGTATTTTTGTGCCAAGGTGCCTGTCGATGTCGTCACCGTCGTCGTTTTGGGTGTGGAAAGTGTCGTTTGTGTTGTTTGAACTGTAGTCGGTGTCCGAGGCGTGGTTTGCGTGATGGCCGTCGTCACTGTCGACGTCGACGGCGTCGTGGACGTTGCAGTCGTCGTTCTTTTGACCCCCGTTGTCGACGTGGTCGACGCCGACAACGAATTTTCCACGCGTTCTGTGTCGTTGACTGCCGCTGACAGCTGTAGCAAAGTGTCGAGACTGCCTGACGACAAGGGCAAATCTACCTCGACGCTTTTTGGCGGTGGGCCGATGAGTGGACCCTGGGCACTGGGTGACGATAAGCGATGGTTCGGTGGTGACACGACGTTTTCTGATACACTGTCGGTGTCGAAGTCGAGGCCGAAGTCTAACACTGACTCTGCCACGGCTTCGGCAGTGTCGCGAATGAGCGACAGGTCGACGGTGATGGGCATTGGCATGCTGTTTTTAATGGGCAGGGCGTCGATGTAGTTTAAATCCATTCGGGTTCTTGGGATGTGTCCGATGAATAGCGTGGGCATTTGGAGATCTGTTTCCGGTTCCGTTGTTGGCGCTGACTCTGCTTGCTGATGGAATATCATGATTGCCAGTATTGTCTGGAAAAAAATATAGAAATGATAATACAGGTGGACTCTCTATAACGAATTTTCAAGGGACTGGAAAAAAAATTCCGTCGTCGAGAAGCCGTATAAATTGGGGAGAGAACACTATTACAGGACCAAAAATATTCATTGTGAAGAAAAAAGGCTCATTGACAAGATCGTTGTAGAGAGAATCCACCTAAAATTATATTATATGATCACTTTTTGGACTGCTGAAAAAAATTTCGAGAAATAATTTTGTAAATTAATAATTGAGGCTTCCCCGAGCTTCAAACTCATTGGGTTTAGACGTCGAGAAGAATTCATGTATACATACCTAGTAAAAATAATTTTGATACCATTTGTGTCTCTCATTTTTTTACTGAAGATTAATGGAAAAATTCACCCAAGAAAAGACAGAAAATCCATTTGGATGAATTGAAGGAAATTGCGCATTGGAAAAAGTCGCACGAGTTTCTTTCATTCCATGTTTGAGCGTATAAATAATCAACTTTTGGACACATCAGCAATTTCATAACTTTTTGAGGATATTGTACTTCTTTAATACCCGTATAGCAGTTCATCGAATCCTTTCAAAATTTTTGGATAAAAATGCACTCACTTGAACAAGCATTTTTCTTCTCGTTTTTATTTCACCACGCTACTCGTAATTATGAAGACTTGAGATTGTTGTTGTTGGGAACTTCACTGGGTATTGGTCGGATCACTGTTGGGTTCTCGCTGGGTCATGATCACCGGCCGCGACGATCGCAATTAAGAAGAGAGCGAACCTTCAGCGTCGGAGTGACGACTCGAGACTGGCGATCGTCGACAGCAGTGTCGATGGGAAAACTGGTTAATGACCAACGACGACAACGTCGACGTGGAGCCTTCTGTTTTATTTTCCTTCCAATCATCGCTCCCGACCAGGTTCTAATTGCATCGGGGCTTTCGAAAGGTACGCAACAATTAAAAACACGTCTTCCGAGAAAATCCGACGAAATTGATCAATTGCGTCGTATTTTATGAAATAAATTTCTTTTTTTTTTAAGATACCTGACATTTTTTTTCAATTTCTTAGAGTTTATTCCGCTAATGATTCTGGGAAAATGTATGCAAGCCCAAAATTTAATTTCATTTCTACTGAGTGGATCTGAAAAGTAGATTTATTTCGCCGCCTTAGTTTCAATTGAGCGATTTGATTGAAAGAGTATATTATGAAGCAATTTCTGAAATGCCTGAAAAATGACTCGAGACCATGTGAAGGCAACTTGAATGATTAAATAATTTTAGTGCTCCTCGAATTCTACTTTTAAAAACGTGTTTACAACATGGTCTGTTTAGACTTTTCATTTTAATTATAAAGCATGAAATTAGACCCCATGAAAAGCTACTTGAAGCATTTTTACACGATAGCTTAAACGAGTTATTTCTCACGTTTTTGGTCTGAGGAGCCCATGGAAAAGAAAAAAGCTTGGCAGAGCACTGCTGAAAGTTTAATTTTAGAGGAGCGACGTAGACCTCGTACACTGTATTTGAAATTTTTTAAGCTTCAAAAATTAAAATACGCTTGGATTGAACTCCGGAAGTGCTAATTTATTGGTTGAATTCAGCGTTCATTATTCCCTGGAGCAGTCGAGAAGTCGAAGTTGAAAATTTGAACTAAATTTTTTTTTCGATTTACACCCGGTTTTTACGATCAGATTAATTTCTTTTTGTGGACATGGATTTTGCATTTAATTTCATATAAGTTGGTTCATTGAAAATATTGATATTTTCTCAAGCCTACCAAAATTTTTAGAAGACCCATTTTCTTGTCCCTGGTTTCAGGAGTCTGAAATTGCGTGTTATCAGCTGCGATGGTATGGAACCGGTTCGCTTGTCCCTCGCCTGGGGGCTAAACATGGGCGTTTTCCAGATCACGCTGTCAATGAAATCCAGGTTTCTCATTACCTTTTCAACTGACCTAATTATCAGCAACAAAAATTCATCTGAAACTTCCGAGAAGTTTTTTCACGAGGGAGAAGACTTCAATTTTTTTTGTTGCGTGAAATTCACTTCGACCCATTGTTCGATTTCATCGGGCTTCGAGTTGTGGTGTCCCAGGATTTGTTACACTGCCTCATCGCGATTCTTGATGCCACATTCCATACTTGAATAAGTGACTCTGAGTTCCACCGAGTTAATCAAGTATGAATTTGCTTCTTAGGTCAAATAAGATTCGTTTGAATGAAGTACAGTGAGTAGCTGGAAAACCGTGTCGATGCTGTAAAAAAAATTCCGTTATATTTTCTGAGTGAAGAAGGTCCATGTGTACTTCTAATTATTACGGACCATTGGAACAAACATTTCAAGAATTCAAACTGGTTGATTGTGGTAAGTATCCCACAGAATCAAGTCATTAAATGCAAGCATTGATAAAATTTTTTTTTTACTTACGATCAAGAAATAGTTTAGGTTAGAAAATTTTGGGACCGTGATGCTTTTTTCTTCTTTTAATTTTGGCCTTTTTTTGGACGAATTAAAAAAGACCATTATGACATTTCTAAAAGCAGAATATTACGACAAACACGTAAGTTCGTCATCTTCAAAAATATGAGCAACAGGGAGTTTGTTTTACAGAACATACGCCAAACGTCTTGTTTCCAAAATAAAGGGTGTACAGGTATTTACGCGCTACTTGGCCCTTGAAACATTTCTGCTTGGGAATTAATGATTAAATAATTATTAAATGTCCGTCAAAGAATACTTGTATTTTGTGAAAAGACTGTGAAATAAATACCTTGACATAATCAAGACAACCAAAAAGTGTTGGTTGTTTGGAATAAGAAAGTCAGGAAAATATTTAATATTTTTACCGCGACATCTATTAGAAATTTGAAAATTGCATCCGAGGACGACGTTTGTTGAAATGCTGTTGAAAAATCGTGGCATGATCAGAAAAAGTTTCTAATTGTTTTAAAATATCTTGGATTATTATTGAATGAATCTTACTTGACTTTGAATTGGCAAGCTTAAAAATGAATCATTTCCTTTCCTAACTACGGCATACATCTTGTTAGTGGAATGGCAGCAATGTTTTGTTCATGTTTTTACTCGCTGTCCCACCTTTCTTCGATGCAAAATTTGTTTTCAAAAATGTGATGTTCGTAAATCCTAGAAATAATGCGTTTTTTCATGTGTATTATTTCGTGAGTCAACCTTCACGTTCCAGCTTCTTCAAACTGTTCAAAGTAAAATGGATTTAATAATATTTATTTGTGTATGATGTTTCGTGTAATATGGCGAGAAGATGCGTAAATACTCAGAGCGAACAATAAAACTGATGAAATATTTGCTTTGCAAACAGCGAACTTTATTCGCAACACGAAAGATCACGATTCACGACATGAATTGAATAATAATAATAAAAATATTGAGCATAAATAAACGTTCCTTTAAACAAAACGAAATGAATAGGGAAGAAGTGGCGGGGTTGTGTAGGCAGGATCTTTCACGGGTATCACACCAAGACACGCGGGCTCTAAAACTCATTTCCTATTCCTTCCAAAAAAAATCCCTTTGGGCTTTCAGTATTCCACGTGGGTTCCGTCCGGGTGCGTGATCCTGGTGAAGGAAGTACTGCCACCCGTGGGCAAAACAGTGCGTCGAACAGTAGGTACTGCGCTGCGCACGTAGGCGGCGTAGGGATTGCCAAAGTACTGGCTGTACTGCTGCTGATGTTGCGGTACTTGGACGTACTGGTAGCGAATCGGCGCCGCCGCGACGTTGTTGCCGAAGAAGGAGGTTTGTGGTGCCCGGATATTCAATACATTGGCGTCCACAAACTGCTGCGTTTTCTCTGCGGAATCGTCGTCGCCGCGTGTGATGACGGTCGTGGCGACTCTTTGCGGGACAACGACGGGTCTGGGCGCCACTTGGACGAGTTCAGAGCGACGAGCCGCCGTGTGTGCCAAATGGTCGTAGACTGGACCGACGCCTCGTTGGATTTCGACTTCGGCGTTGTAGCCGTTGGCGCCGGCGGTGTAGCGAGTGATTCGGAGATCGCCGGTGGGTTCGAGTACCCGGTATTCACCGGTCACTTCGTTGCCGTTGCGGGTTTCTTTGTGGCCCGTGAACACGGAGCTTTCTTGGGCGTTGATTTCGTAGCCATAGCTGTATTGTGGGTTCGAGTCGAAGGACTCCTCGTCCTCGTCGGTGCGGGTGACTCGGATCGGGGTCGTGGGCACGACTCGGGTCACTACCGGGGCTGCTTGTTGCACGAACTGGGTCGGCTGCACGAACCTGCGCGTTTTTTTGTTGTTGCGGAAATTAAACGAGAACACCTCGGAATTAATTTTTCGCGGGAGAAGGAAATGATCCCCTTCTTCTCGAATTTGTGAAATTCGATACCGACATTTTGACATTTTCTTTTCTTCTCCTAGGAACTTGAAAATTCTCCGGAAAATTGAAGTGTAAGAGACAAATCCCGCGTTTTGCTACATTAAAATTGTCAGATTTGCCGAATCCGGATTTGCAATGGAAGACAAAATTTGAATAGAATCGTGAGTCTCGATTTGAGTCTGACTTTGACAAACCATTCGGGAAATATCGAAAGTCTCATTTTTTCTCAGATTTGAATATTTGTAATTTTTTTAATGAAGAAGTTATTGTTGTTGGGGTAATTATTTTTCATTCAACGGCGTTGGCGATTCGCAAAACTTCTCTGTACATTCCTTTCGAACGTGTATTTATGCAGGTGGACTCTTTACAACGAAATGCTAGAGACCAGAAGAAATCGCTTCAGAGAAAAATTCGTTGTACACAGAAAGTTGCATATTCTAGTTTTTGCGTTGAAGATGTATTCTATCACAATTGAAATTCTTGCTGGATCCGAAAATCGTAAAACTTTTTTTAATTCAGTTGATGTTGGCTTTTGTCTTGAATTTCCAGCTTGGAGCTGTCTAAATGCTGCACTAAAAAGCCTCTTTTTGAAGAGCACCTTTGAATAAACTGAAACAAACCTGGTGACGACGGGCTGACTGGCGAACCTGGTGAAAATGGGTTGCGTGGGTGCCGGGTTGGCGAACCTGGTGAAAATGGGTTGCGCGGGTTGTGAGAAGCGCTGAACGAGGGGTTGCGAGAAGAAGGTGAGAGGGCGGACTTGAACTGCCCTGGCGGGTTGCAAGATTTGCTTAGTCTCAATGCTACCGGGTGCTTCGATCGTTCTAATGACCACATTTGCTGGGTTCGTCTCGGGCAATGCGGCTTTCCCTACTTCTTCTGAAGAGTCCGCCCGTTGCAATGTGCTTTGCGTGTCGTAGTTGTTGTCTGCTGCTGGCATTGCGGACGCAATGCAGAGCAACATGGAAATGCTTACGAACACCTGGGAACAAGTTTTGGCAGTACGTGTAGTGAAATTTTGCGTTGCGACAGATGGAAACATTTTTGGGGTAGAAACCGCCCCCGAGTTTCTTCACGATTGAAAGAGCATATCGCTGCAACGAAGCGTTTGGGATATTGCAAAAATTTCGTTATAAACGAAGCAAAATTGAGTTGATATTGTTGCTATTGGACAGGGACCAAACAACTTTTTAAAGGGTTAATTCTTTATGACAAGCAAGCTTCTACTGTACAGCATTATAAAAACTTGTTCATTTGTTAGAGATTTTGGTGAGTTTCATGAAAATACTGTACAACAATCAAGAATATCTTGTGAATATTTATCCAATTCCGAGGGATTTATTTACTCTTAGCTTGTAGCTCAGGTTAAATCAAAGACTTTATTTATTTTTAAATTTGAGAGTCCCCAAAGAAAGTGAAGTATTGTGGAAATGCTCACAAAAAACGTGAAATAAGTTCAAATGTACTGGATAGTCTGAGTTTCGCTTTCAACAAAGGGACGGAAAGTGTGCCAATTTTATTTACATACTGTAAT